GTGAGGACTTGGGAAATGGGAGTGAGGGCAAAGAATACTGGATTTTGGATTTGGGAAACTCATTTTTGACCCAGTGGTAAACCTGATTAAATGTCATGATCCAGAATTTATCTCCATTTGTACCTTCAGATATTTCCCAGTTAAATTGAAATAAGCAAGAGCTTGAAACTGTGCCTGCCAGCTTTCCCAAAAGTCTTTCAAACCTGATGCGGAGGAGTGTTCCACAAGTCAAAGGTCAAGCCTACCATCAGTACTTGTAAGGGGCCATGGCTATGGAGACATTTGGACCAAAGCTTGTGTTTATCACCGTCTGTCTTTAGTTTCTTTGTTTTCCTTCTTAAGGGAAAAAATATTAATTGTCTTCTTATATGTACATCGTTGTTGGAGAGTGATTATGATTTATGTGTACTTTTATGGGATCGATTAATTCTCTGATAATTCCTCTGTCCCAGAATATCTTGTGAAATCTGCCTCTCAAGAACCAATATCAAGGGACGCCTGGCTGGCTCAGTTGGAAGAGCTTGCAACTCTTGATCCTGGGGTTGTAATTTCAAACCCCACGTTGGGTGTAGAATTACTTAAAAATAAAATTAAAAAAAAAAAAGAAAAAAGGAACCAATATCATGATTATGTTCTCTGACCACAATGCAATAAATTTAGATATTAATTAAAAATAGTTTTAAAAACCACAAGCTTTGGAACCAAGTAATATCACTTTTTTAAAAAGATTTTATTTATTTATTTGACAGAGAGAGACACAGTGAGAGAAGGAACACAAGCAGGGGGAGTGGGAGAGGGAGAAGCAGGCTCCCCGCGGAGCAGGGAGCCCGATGCGGGGCTCGATCCCAGGACCCTGGTATCATGACCTGAGCCGAAGGCAGATGCTTAATGACTGAGCCACCAAGGCGCCCCGTTCACTTTCTTTTTTTTAAATAATATTCACTTTATAACCCTTGGATTCCAAAGAAAATCAAAGGAAGTTAAAATGTACTCAGATTGTCAGTAGATCTTACCATAGTGTTGAATGAACAAAGTAATAAGTACAATGAAGACCTTAGCAGTGTTTCTCAAAGTATTTGTGGTAAAGAACCAGTTTTGTTAAATTTTGCAACAATTACAGAACTATAAATCATAAAATGAAATAAAAATAATTACTAGAAAAGTAAAATTTAAAAAAAGTAAGGTTGTATCAAATGTAGGCCCTAATATTTATTATTAGATTCCCAAAACATAAAATTACATTTCAGTGAATATAATTTGAGCAAAGATAATATAGGAAAAAATGTTTCTACATGCTAATCCTCAATTTTTCTACCTATCTTAACACAGACCAGTAACAAAGAATTTAGGAACCAGCCAGATAACACTGATTTATAACACAATGCCTTTTATATAACTTAAAAATACATAACACAACAGATCAATTCATGATTTATAAGAATGCATACAAATAAACACATCAAATCTATCGGCATGATTGTTTATTAAGGAGCTAGAAGGAAGAAAAGGAAGTTTGAATAAAAGAGAATCAATCAAGAGAGTGACCCAGCACAGATGAATGAAAATGGTGTTACCAGGTTTTCGATTAACTCAACCTCTGTCTCTGAGGGACACACACACACACACACGCACGCACGCATGCACGCACACACATATAAAACAGTCTTTTCCATATTCTTGGTCTCTTTATCAACAACTTATTATTATCCATCTACTTTATCTCCTCTTACTATTTTTAACTCTTTCCCTGCACTCTTTTAGAGCTACATCAAAATGATAAGAAATCATCAGGGAGGGGTGCCTGGGGGGCCAGTCAGTGGTTAAGTATCTGCCATTGGCTCAGGTCAAGATCCCAGGGTCCTAGTATGGAGCCCCGTGTTGGGGTGGGGGGGTGTCCCTGCCTAGCGGGGAGCCTGCTTCTCCCTCTCCCTCTTCCCCTCCTCCCCACTTGTGCTCTCTCTCTCTTTCTCTCTCTCTCTCAGATAAATAAGATCTTTAAAAAGAAAAGAAAAAAAAATCATCAGGGAGATACATTTTCTCCAGGGTTAGGTGTGTACTTTGTTTTTCACTCTTATCAACTGAATAAACCAAAAGATATCCATCACAAATGTCTTGGCTAGTTTACACTGGTTAAAGTATGTCAAAACATTTTAGCTCTTGTAATGTTCTCAACTGTGTTGTCTATACTTACATTCTCCATTTCTCACTCATTGCAACCCACCCACAAATCTGAAACATAATCTTTATAACTACTAACCATAAAGCGAATTGGAAAAAAAAGCTACAGCCCTTCAGGGGTATATTTTAAAATCTTGATAGTTGTTCAGTAAATGATTACTCCAGCCTGTTGATTAAAGAACTCTGCCTTGTAGTTGCATGACCTGAAGGCATGGTGTCAGTACCCCTGTACAAGGACCCTCCTCTTTGGAAGCTTCCCTCGGTAGGTTTTTCAAACTGTGGGACCATGCCCATCTGCTTTGCACTTAGCCTTCCTGTTTCACAGTGACCTTAGTTCTTTATATCTGGGAAAGGGTTGAGTAAGTTATCTATGGCTTGAGCTGTGAAGAAAAATAATCTGTCTCTATGAAGACTCAAACTCTTTGTTTCACTTAAAAGTAGATTTTTTCAAGTTTATCAAGATAATCCTTTCTATTTGTATTTTATTTGTGGAGACATGATCCAACTGGGTCTAGAAGTATTTCTCATGCTTTACTTCTTAAACTGTAGCCCTTTGATATTTACCACTGAATATTAGTAACTGAACAAATAGAATTTTGTAGTTCATCTGTTGTTTTTCTCTCATTGGGTTTTGAAATTAACTTCAAATGTAATATAGCATTATAGCAAATAAAACAATACAGAGGCATATAAAGAGAAAGTTAGAAGCTCCTCTTTACCAGTCAGCCCCACCCAGCAGTCAATGCTGGATTATCCAACATGCAGATCAAATACGTATTCAGGACACTTATAAAAACAGGGAGCTCCAAAATGTTTTTGAAAAAATGTTATAATTGATATTTTAGAAGAAGCACTGGACAAGTGATCATGAGAAAAATCAGGAATTTTTGGATTTCTTTATATTTATTTTGTGGTTTAGTATTAAATGTTACATTAGATTTATTGGGGAGAATAAATGTGTACAAAGAATGTATACCTGTCAAGATTGCATTTAGTTCAAAATGTATATGCATACATAATTTTTTTACATAATTGTCATTGTAGAATTGTTTTTCATCTTAAAATTTCACTTATGATTTTGTAAATGTTTCCATGTTCATATAGAGATATTGTACTCATTATGTAATCACTGCATTCTGTTCCATTGTACTAGTAAATCATCTTGTTTGTCCATTCTTCCACTGTTAAATATTTTCTAAATTTTTCACTTACTAGACATATGGCTATATTATATTTCTGTACATAGCTGTTTTCTTTTTCAAAAATAATTTTCTTGGAATAAGTCACTGAAGTGATATTATCACAACAAAACTTTAAGAGTATTAATACAACTCTTCTTACCTATGACCAAATTGCTCAGCCAGAGGATTTTATAAATTCACAAAGGGTAGACTGTATGCATTCTGAGTTTAAAAGTAGTTTGAAGCATGACAAGGTGGGAGCGGGCAAGGTTGAAGGCGACATGGAGGACAGGAAGGAGATGATTGCCATTATCCTGACAGGAGATGTTGTATATCCCAACAAAAATGGTGGCAGTGGATATAGAGAAGAAGAAGAATATAACAAATATTTAGCAGCTGGGCTTGGCAGGCTTGATGACATGGGGAAGGAAGGATAAGGAAGACTGGAAGATGAGCCACTGGGTTGTTTGATGGAATAGAGCAGGTTTGAGAGGAAGGAGGACACTGCTGTGAGCACTATCCCCACAGTCCAGCACAGTGGCTAGTACAATGAAGGCATTCCGTGAGTGTTAGTTGAATGAACACTTCACGCATACATAAATGAATGAGTACTACAAACAGTAAATCAATGTTCTTATCCCAGACCCTCACAGGTATGTGGTTGTGTACCTAGAAGTTGATTTAATGCTTTTAACTCCTCATTAGGGTATTTTAAAATCAGGACTCATGACAACAAGGAAGTGAGAAAATTAGGGAAAGAACTGTGGAAAGGAAGACAATCCAAAGCCAAAGCTGAGGACTATCAAACAACCAGATCCTCCGCTCATGAAATCAGTCAATTACTTTACATGGTCAACTTTATGCTAACTTACATAGACTTGGCTATTCCTTACAGAAAGTTGCCAATTCCTATCTCTGGCTGCTAAAATCTCAATACCCCTGGATTCAGAATGAAGTTATGGTTCCAGTCCACTCACCTCCTCAGTTACCAGTGAGAGAGAGAGCAGATTGTTGCCTAAGGCTCGCTGTTCTGAATTGCGTACAGTCCTCCCAGGGTGCCCACATCTGGCTACAGGGGTCTGGAGCTAAAAGGTTTTTCTGAGAGAATCCCCAAACAACCCTATAGGTCCGGTTGTATTTTGGGTACCATGAACCTTGGTTGTGTGATTGTGACTTGTGTTTATGTTCTTATACCAAATTTTGTCTCTTAGGCCTAAACTGTATTCTCCTGTATTTGTCTTATATCCCCTGGAGGACAAAAGCTATGATTTCCATTTTCTTCATAACTCCCTCAGAGTCAAGTATAAGGTTCAGTATAAACTAAGCACTCAGCAACTACTAACGATTGCCCACTTGGAATTACCGAATTGAAGGAAAATGATGGTTTTTAATGATCAATAAAAGGTACCATGTATTTAGTTTTAGGAAACAAAATGTTTATTGAAATGGCATGTAGATAAATTATCACGAGCATAAAACTGTTAGTGGATTCCCAACATGGGTTCTTTTTACTCTTAAAAGGAAGTGAGGCTTTGTAAGTCCATTGTCCCAAAGGAAAAATATTATATTTCTCTGTTCAGATAAAGTCCTTTAAAAAAAAGCAGATCACTTTTGAAATGGTCTTTTAAATGTCTCCAGCCTATGACCAAAACAAAAATAAAAAGATATAATTCTCTCCGTTTAAAAAGAAGAATGAAAGGTGAATGACATGGAAAAAATACTTAGGCATTTGAAATGCTGGAATTTACTCTGGGTTTACTAGTTTAAACTAAACCATTTAAGAAATAATATAAACAAATAAATCAGCAAGACAAATTACATGTTATCATTAAAATGCAAAATATGGCAACACTTTTATCATTATATACTTAAGAAATAAGCTAAAATGTTATCATCTTAAATAAATTTTAAACAACTCTTGAGTTCAATAATTTGGAATATAATCCAAAGTGAGTTTTAGTTTCCATATAAGGCTAAATACGCTTAGTAAAAGACTTAAAATTAATAAATATAATAAGAGAAAATGAAACTTTCAGAAAAATGAAACTTCATGGACTAACAGAAATTAACAGTTTAATTCTCAGGGTAAAATGACTTAGTCGTATTCTATTTCAGCATGGTGTTCTGGTCCAACCTGTTTGGCTCCCCCAAGGTGGTGCTGCTGTCCTTCTCCAATGGCTAATCTGTTGAATGGGATTATCTTCATGGTAGTTTTCCTCATGGAATACCACCGGGATTGCCAAGTGGCCCAAATAATGCCATTATCATAGCCATTAGGAGTAGATGTTTTTGAGTAAGTGCCACCTAAAACAAATTTTAGATGTACATATAATTGCTCTTGAATTTCCTTACCTCAAGAAGTCTGTAAAGAATGGCCTGTTTGTTACAAAATACATTGTTGCTTACATCAAATTTATCGTGACCTACTATCTGAAAAATCCCTAAAGATTCCTAAAATCCTGATTTACAATTGAAGTACATTTATTCGAACCAAACTCTTATGTCTGTTTTATACTTCTTGATCACATCCACACTTAAATGTATTCCCTACTAACAGGTCTAGAACCCCAAATTTCCCCAATCAGTCTCTCTTCCTGAGCTTAGTCATTCTGGAATCAGCTATTATGGACCATCTGTCCACAAGCAAGTTAGAATGGCAGGAGTCATAATTCCTGATCATATGACCTCAGGTCATCTAAAAACACAATTTCACTAAAAAATATAGGACTTTAGAAAACAGTCCTGGAAAGTTATTCTACATTTCCATTATATACAGAAGACTACATTGCTTTGCCTTCTCCTTGTCCTTGGACATCAGATCTTATGTAATCTTGTAAAGGATTGTCTGAGTCCAATACTGGGGTATACCATAGGCTATCAACATTGCTATTCTGAGTCATGGTTTGTAGGTGCAAAGATATTTTAGGTTTCTTAAAAAAAAAAAAGAACGTTGTGAAAACCAAAAGGTAAATTTAAATAGCTTTTAAGAGGATTAGAATCATCTATTGGCTAGCACAGTACCCTGAAGAGGTAAGATTGCTTATCTTAATGGATCTTTCAGAATCAGTAGAGCTTCCCCAACACATACTTGTTGGGTAGTAATAATCATTTGTCAGTAAGTTTAGTGTTTAGAAGTATTCCTGCCTTAGAGCAAACTACAGCTTGCTACCCACCCCCCCTCTAAAATAAATGCCTACACTTTTCAGGCTGGACTCCTTTTCTCTCAAGCTTTTTTTTTTTTTTTAACCATTACTTCCTTGCTCTTAACTCTGTTCCTTCACACTGGTTATATCTGTCACATTGCTCATGGGAAGCTGCACCAGGCTCATGTGTTAACAAGCATAAATATGATAATGTTAGTCCATCCAGATCACACGTAAGTATAGAAGTCTAGAAGAGATACCATAACCGTAAGTGGTGGATTTTTTAGAGAGGGGCCAATTTATGTCTAAGTTTAGTATCCAATTCTGGTTTAAAATGAAGAACTATATAATAAGACCCCAATCTCTGTACTAATTATTTCTCATTTTCTTATATTATTTTTTACCTTTCATAAAAATACAAACTATACACTAGTTCGTGTATGTAAGGAAGAGAGCCATACCTTGGTAATAAACTCCATTGAGGTGGCCTGCGTGACACTTGTTCATCCACCAACCAGACCCATCCTGTTCGGCACAGTTTCCTTCGTACTTATCGTTGTCGTTGTCCCAGGTACTGAACTGCATGCCATTGTGGGATGTGAAAAATTTATCACTAGGGTCATCGCCAAAATCATAGCCATCAAAGGCATCTCCAGCATCTCCACCAATAAAGTAGGCATACGTCAGGCGGTATTTGTCAGCTTCAGGTCCCACCTTGAACATGGCATAATCTGCAGTACTATAAAGAAGGGAACAGAGACATCATATCTTGGCCCCCGCTAGGGATCTCAGAAGTTCCCTTTTCCACAGGAAAATTGTTTGGAATTTTTAACTTTGCTTCTTAAGTCTGAAATGTGCTCATTGAATCAAATTTCCTGCAAATCTGGCAAGAGGCGATGGATGTGTGAACCAGTTCAGAACTCATCAACACCACCCAGAATTGGTCTAGAAGCCTTCAGGGCATCCCAGTGAAAACTAAAAACATCAGCCATTTTAATGCTTTTTGCCTGTAGAATCCTAATATCAAATCCAGGTGTGTGGATGAATCTGACTAATTTCGTATTTTCCACCTTTAACTAAGTGTTTAGCATTGCACACAGAGTTATCATAAACCACAGCAAATGACACTGAGTGATCATTAATTAATGCACCAAACTTGAAGGAGCTCAGCTCTATTAGCCACTCGTGGCATCTTGAAGGATGAAGTCCAAAAGGAATTTTTCTTTCCCAAAGCAGCATGATAGTGACAAGAAGGAGGGCTTCCTAGAGCATCACATGAAAGAAATGGTCCCTGTGTGGCCCACAAAATATAAGCTGTCATTACATTTGAGAGATTCTTCCCTGGGAAAAAACTGTGAATAAGGGCCAGAGAGTGATTCTTCCCTGGGAAAAAGTTGTGAATAAGGGCCAGAATTCTATGGAGTGCAGGAAAGAATGGGCTTTGGTATATGAATAGAAATTTTCAGAAAATATTTAGCCTCTTCCCTAATCTCCAGTACTTGGAAATTGGGAGGAGTTCTCATAGGAGAAGGTCTACTAACTATGGTACTTTCTGATTAAAAATACATGTTTGGAGACAATATATTTCATTATTTCATAAACATAACAAAATGATTAGATGTTTTTCTGAATTTTAACTAGGAATGCTATGCTCAAACCTCCCAGGTAACTGTGAGCATAGAGGGGGACTTTATCTCACCAAAGGAGCTAGCTGATTTAATTTTAGGGTAGCTCATGGATTGACTGAATGAATTGTCATTAAAGCACCAGGGAATTTGAAAAGTCTGGATTCACCTTTCAACCAGAACAGTCATTAGGAGGACAGGCTGTAGGGTCAAACTACCTGAGTTCCAATCCAAGTTTTACTGTTTACCAGCGACATGACTTTGGGAAAGTTAATCTCTAAAATGAGATTAATAATAGTACCTTCCTCATGAAATAGTTATTTGGATTAGATTAAGTTTTAATTTCATGCTCATTGTCTGGTACAAATTAAGTGGCTCAGTAAATATTAGCTATTAGTCTATATGTTTCCAGGGTAAGCAGATTACACCAAAACACTCTCTATCCTGGATGGGACCTATCTCTTTGAACTGCCCAAGAACCAAACCGACTCCTGTGGAAAATAGTTGGATGTGCTTTTTGCATTTGTCAGGCTGTCTTTGCTATTGGCCTATTGATAATTGGAAAGTGCACATTCCAGACAGTGTCTACAACAAAAAAAGCAGAAGTCCTTTCTAAACAGTACCTGGTTCTGCCATTCCAGTCTTCCAACTGTATTCTTAATGCATATGGTATGGCTGACTGTGTGCTGATCAAATGAATCTTCTCATTTCCCAGCCAAAATTCTGTGTTTCCAGTAGGAGACAGATGCCCAAATCCTTCTTTATATTGAATCCAATTTTTCTTGAAATTCAAACTGCCATCAAGCCTCTAAGTACACAATTGTATGGACAAAAAGAGAGAGTGGATTATCAGTGCACATAAAGAAGATGCTATAAATATCTTGTTGAAAATCTGGACAGTGTGATTCTACCACTTACTAAGTGAACTTGGGCAAGCTGCCTTAGTTTCCTCATCAGTAAAATTGGAATAATGATGCCTATTTCTTAGGGTTGTTGCAGTATTATACCAGAGAATTAAGAGAAATACTGAAAAGAGTGTCTGGTACATAGCAAATTCTAAATCAGTGGTAGTTTTAAAAAGGCACTTAGAGGACTTCAGAACCCCAACTTGATATTGCTGATTTTTATACTGATGGTGGAAAGGTTAACTCATTGCTCAATCTGTGTATGCCAAACGGCACTTCCAGCACTCACTCTCTCTGAGCGCCCCCTGCAGGATTAGTTGAAACAGCGATCAAAGATCGACAGATGGTTAAAGGATCTGCAATGGGTGTCTGGCTCCAGCAGAGGCAACAGAGGGCCCTTGTCTTGGAATAGCCCAACTGTATCCTCTGGGGGACTTTGTCTTTTCGTGATGGGCAGCCTTAGATCTTGAGCTACTGGATGCAAGAGGTCCGTTCTAGTTCTTTGCCATTCCGATACTGTGATTATATGCTCTCATGAATCTACAACATCAGTGCCAACACAGTATAGAGTCCAAAGCCCAGATTGGAACAAGACTGCCTGGGTTCCAATCTGGACTCTGTTACTTATTATGTGACCTTGGGCAAGTTGCTGAACCTCTTGTGTCTAAGTTTCCTCCTCTCTAGAGGTAATGATTGTACCTCATTGGAAAATTGGGAAATTGTGAGGACTAACTGAGTTCATGTTCACAAAGTGCTTGCAAACGTTTCTGGCATAGGGTGGAAGTTGATCTGAGTGTTTATTACATACACACAGGGAGGGGAAATACCTTCTGCAGCACTGTCCATCCATTTCCAGATCCATCAATTTCACAGTAGACTAGGAACTGCTGCTTAGCTTTCAGAGGTTTGATAAAGTAAAGCCCACTCTCCTTGGCCCCCTTATTGGCAATGTCTTGACAATCTGAAGGAGGCAGAGATGGAGGAGAAGAAGGAGAAGAATAGTTTTACTGTGGTTTGAAATCCGTGTTAGACTGTACCAGCCTTCACAATGAGCTTTTCACAGGGTTGCAAACTATTAACGTCCCAAGAAGCATTTTCTTACTTCTCGCATCATCATCATTCCTTTCAAACTAGTTTTAGCTACTCAAGAAAAGTCTAAGCAATTGAACACTTTAGATTTAATTGCTAAACACTTTCCAAATTATTCCTATACATTCCTAAACGTTCTCCTTGGCTTTATACATTTGCTGTGATAAGAATCATTCCAATATAAGCCTTTCACTTACCTTTCCCAGTTATATCACGTATTTGTACTGTGTCTCTGCAAGGTTCCTGACACTTTGCTTCAAGCTGGGCTACCTTCTGTTTCAGGTTATTGATCTTTTGGTTATTTGAGTTATATATTTCCTGTAAAAATCTACAAGCAGAAGAATAAGTTAACGGAGTATTCCTTTCAGATGAGTAATTCTGTATTTTCTTTACAAAATACGTTCTCAAGAAGTAATTCCTGATAAATTACTTCATTCTTGGAAAAGTTATAAAATTATGTTACTGAATTGAGATGAATTAACGTTCTAAGCTTTTTGGGAAGGAAAATAACAGAGTCCTTGTCATAAACGATGTCATCTTAAGCAGTCATCCTGATTTTTTTTAAAGTAGGCTCCACGCCCAGCATGGAGCCCAATGTGGGGTTTGAAACTCAAGACGTTGAGTTTCAAGACCTGAGATCAAGACCTGAACAGAGATCAAGAATGGGCTGCTTAACCAACTGAGCCACTCAGGTGCCAGGGTCATCCAGATTTTTAACATTCTGCATAAAGGGCAGCAGGTAACAACCTACGGAGTGAGGAACCTGGTTAATAGGAAGACCACCTGATGTTTCTTAGGACAGAATATTCACAGGGAAGGAAAGATTCTGCTCAGTAATTCACATGGGCCGAAGCTATTCCTTTTCACTGAAGATCTCCTAAGGATCTATTTATGGACTTCAGTCTGTGACTTACATGGGAAACGAATCTGGGGCATTATTTTACATAAAATAAAACAACAGACACTTTCTCTTTCTTTTTAATGTTTCCATTTACATAGCTTTGGAAAGGGTCTGAGGGAAGTAAAAATCTGTTTTTGTAGTTTCTCACAGGGTTGCTTGTACATATTCAGAAATGACAGAAAACTATCTATAACACGTGGACCATTTTATCTTCCTTTGAAGTAAAAGAGAATAGACAAACTATTTGACCACCTTTTTTCTCTCCTCAGCCTTAGAAAATTTCTGCACAATAGTCTCCTTGAACTTCAATGATGGGCAATAATAATGCAAATTATAATATTAATAATAATGGCCTCTGATACCAAACAGAAGACATATCCCTTCTGGATCACTTCAGCCACCATTTATCTCAAATTTCCTACACTGCTTTGAGAACAACTAAGGGGGAAAAATTTGAGTAAGAAACTAAACTGTATCTGAGACCCTATGCTCAGAAAGTCTGTGATTCCCTGGGAAGTTGTCGACAGAGACATTTTACTTTAAAGTGAAGAGAGAATACAAGACTCCAGGTTCAGTGTGGTTCACAATTTTTGTTATGTTTGGCTTCTTAAAAAATGTTTTTTTCTGCTCTGCCTTCAATATAATATACTACTGTAGCCAAGATCCTCCCTCTACCTCTGCTTACTAATTCCCCACCACCGATTTGTTGGCATTTTTATTAAAAGAATTTCATTTTCAACAACCAAATTCCCATCAGTTTGAATTCATGTTTTAAGTCCAAGATGGGTGAGGGGTGACCACTTTGATAATTCTGGTCAACACAGCATTTGAAGACATCTAGAACACCTTTCTCCCATATGATTATTAAAAAGCAATTCTAACCCCATGCAGTTCATAGTGCACTAAAAACTCCTACCTCCACTGTGTTCAAGGTGGTCAGGCATAATGCCAATTGGATTTCTTAAGTGCGGAAAAATAAAAAGGTTACTTCCACTGAAGGTTGGAATATTGAAAAAAAAATTAAGTCCACCTTGGAGAGTAAATGAAAACAAAAATGGTTACCGAATATTCGATTCGTGTGATCCAACCAATGCCTCGTATTTTATAATTTCTTCCATCATTCTTTTGGAATCCTTGGTAGCAGTCACGATCCTGTCTGTAATATGGGATCAGAGACATAAGAAGATGTGAGCAAATGGAGCCACTGAAGCAACAGCAAAAGAATGTCACAAAACATTGTCTCAGTCAGCAGTATTTCGTTTCTCACTTGGCTTTGGTGGTTCATTGGGGTTATAGGTGACTTGGATTGATTTGATCAGTTCTTTAGCTTCTGCTGTTTTGTTTTCAGTTCGTCTGAAGAGTTCTTCCAAAGATTGCAGATCCTTGTCTACCCCGGTTTGGTAAGTGGACAAGAAGTCTGCAATTCCACAGGTAGTTGGGCAGTAACTACCCTGAGAATACAACAGAGTGATTAGAAATCTTGATTTAAGAAAAGACTGCATAGGGGCGCCTGAGTGGCTCAGTTGGTTAAGCGACTGCCTTTGGCTCAGGTTATGATCCTGGAGTCCCAGGATCGAGTCCCACATTGGGCTCCCTGCTCAGCGGGGAGTCTGCTTCTCCCTCTGACCCTCCTCCCTCTCGTGCTATCTCTCATTCTCTCTCTCTCAAATAAATAAATAAAATCTTAAAAAAAAAAAAAGAAAAGACTGCATAAAATCTAATAAAAACAGGTGAGACCTAAACAATGTTTAAAGAAAAAGTTTTATTATTTATTTATTTATTTATTTATTAAGATTTTATTTACTTAATTGACAGAAAGAGACACAGCGAGAGAGGGAACACAAGCAGGGGGAGCGGGAGAGGGAGAAGAAGTCTTCCCGCGGAGCAGGGAGCCCGATGCGGGGCTCGATCCCAGCACCCTGGGATCGTGACCTGAGCCGAAGGCAGAGGCTTAACGACTGGGCCACCCAGGCGCCCCCCACAAAAGCTTAAAATGCCAAATGATATTTGTGCGAGAATCCCTTCTCTTGCTCAGCCCCTCCCCACTTCTCACACGGTGAGAAACATGAAAACTACTTACAAATCTTTCATCTAAGATGCAGCAATTGTCTCTGGTAGCAATGTACTGGAGGAGAAAAACACAGAGATGTCACTAGTGTATCATATATTTTCTTGATTTTCAGCTATCCGGGTAACACAACGATGTTCTATAAACAGCATACTTACTGCCAGGCATGTGGAAGGGAGCAGTAAAAGAGTATAGAAGTAGAGAATTAAACGTTGGTGCTTCAAGGACCAAGTCATGGTGCCTGGGTGCCCGGTGCTCCGAGCCCTGTCCTGTCAGCACTGTGACCTCTGGGGCTCCACTTGTCCCTTTATGTAAGGTCCAAGGGTGGCCAGCAAGGCCAGTGGCTGGGGCTGATCACGGGGCCTTCTTTCCAGCGTGGTGGGGAGGTCTTTCCGGCTTTTGCCTCATCCTGGCTCCCACCCCGTACTCAGTCAGGTTCCCAGATTTGGCACACAGGTGTAAGCTCCTCCTTTTTGGCTCGGCTCAAACTTTCTCCCCCTGAAGTGCACATTCATCTGCAAAGGCCAGTGAAGCATTAGCTCTTGCTGTGCGGAGGGAGGGGCCCCGGCAGCTGCGTGTTGCAACCTCTTCCAGTACGGGGCTGAGAGCAAATACGGAGGGCTGACCTCGACCAGAACAAACCCGCCCCCACCTGAAGATGAAGCCTGGTGCCATAATTGTACTTAGTGCAAGTCCTTTCTTGGCCAAGGGAGGAGGTAACATACCTATTTTTAACCTGGGGCTGTGGCAGGAGGAGCCTTTGCCTGCCTGGTGGAAGCAGCAGGTCCCAATAGGGCAGTATTCCTAGGAATGAATGAATGACCTGGAAATATATTCCTGCCCCTTTGTATTGACCATTTTCTTTGTGTTTTGTTTTGTTTTGTTTTTCATTTGAGATGTAATTGATTGATAACATTACATCAGTTTCAGGTGTACAACATGCTGATTCGATAGTTGCATATATTGCAAAATTATCCCCATCATAAGTCTAGTTAACATTCACACGTAGTCACAAAATACTTTTGTTCCCCCTCGTATCAAGAATTTTCAAGATCTACTCCCTCAGCAACTTTGAAATACGCAGTGCAATGTCATTAACTATAATCACCATGTGGTACATTATATCCCCAGGTCGTTTTTTTTTTTTTAAGATTTGATTCATTTATTTGACAGAGAGAGACAGCGAGAGAGGGAACACAAGCGGGAAGAGAGAGAACACAAGCAGGGGTGGTGGGAGAGGGAGAAGCAGGCTTCCCGCGGAGCAGGGAGCCCGATGCGGGGCTCGATCCCAGGACCCTGGGACCATGACCTGAGCCGAAGGCAGACGCTTAACGACTGAGGCACCCAGGCGCGCCCCACCCACCCCAGGTCGTGTTTTATAACCGGAAGTTCGTACCTTTTGACCAGCTTCACCAGTATGTTGACCACTTTCACAGGCTCTCCATTTGCAGTGAGCATTGAAGCTCCACTCTTCCCTCTGCCTGGAAGAATTAGCTGGTGTGGCACCACATCTACCACGGAGTGGAAACCGGGGCCTACTCTGTTTTCCCTGGGGATCCATCTTGTCACCTCAGAGGAAAACCTGGATATAGGGGCTAGGAAACTCCACATCCCATATATGTGACTAGAAGCATAGCTGGACGAAAAGGGCAAAATGAGATATTGAGGAGGGGCTGTTCCTTTTCACTCTGCCCCTAGAGTTTCCTTGTATATTGGGAAAACATGTTTATCTTCATCTCTTATTGATAATTTACAGTTGTGCATTACCGCTCTTATTAATACCCCTGTTTTTTATTATCCTTCATTTCGTCCTCTGAAACCAAGCTTAGTGCAAATTTTAATTAAATATATGAATGGAAGAAATACATCTAGATTGAAAGAAATACTAACATTTCGCTGTTTAATCCTTACAAAGGAGTATTCATTTTGACTTAAAACGGAGAGATGTTCCTACTCGGTAAATAATCCATAATCATCATAACAAAGTGAATATAACAAAATCAAGTGTGTTGCCTTTTCTTTCCCTCTTAATAGCTGTCCTCTCTGACTTACCAGTTATTGCCAATCACATCACCATACCCCCAGCCCATCTTCTTCACCCTCCCTCCTTATCACTCATCTAATTGGTTGTCAAAACTTGCTATTAAAACTATTTTCCCACTGTCACTTCTCCTTTCTTTCTACTTTCTATTTCCACGGCCAACACCATAGAGGAGGCCTTTTTATTTCTTGTCTACACTGCTTGTATAGACTGCCTGTTAACTTGCTTCACTTCCAACATTCCGGTCACGTCCTCCTCCAAACCATTTGTCACACCGTTGGCAGGTTCCTCTTCCTATAAATGTAGCTCTGATCCTGACGTTCACCTGCTCAAAAACCTTTAATGACTTCCTATCTTCTATCATAGTGAATGTAAACATAAGAAATGTCCTTCCTACTTTCACTGCACTTTCTCTGTTGATTCTATTTCCAATACCCTCTAGTCCAGCCAGACTGAATTGTGTAACATCCCCTTAGGATGCACCATCTAGTCCTCCCTTTCACATGGTGTTCTTCCTATTATATGTCACTCTGTCTCCCTGGATTAACTTCATATACACTCCTGCATCTGTGGCTGTCAAAATCCTACACAACCTTAAGGCCCTGTTTTATGATTCCTACCCCTCCAAAACTGAACCCCCAATTCTGGAGGCCAGCTCTACCTCTTTCATAGCACTTAGAGCAATTTTCTGTTGTATATATACATGCTACGGCCGCCTTATTAGATTGTAAACTTAATTTCATGGGTATTGCAATATTTAACACTCAGTAATGATTTGATGACATTGAATTGAAGTGGGCTGAAAGTAAGCCTTTAAAATTATTCAGTTATGGCATTAGCCTGGTGTTAGAACAATTAGGAAGCTATCTGGGGAAAAAAAATAAGTGTCATGTGTACCTAACTTCTTAAGCCAAAAAACAAATTCCAGATTAATGGGCACCTGGGTGGCTCAGTCGGTTAAGTGTCTGCCTTTTCTGTCTCAGGTCACAATCCTGGAGTCCAGGGGTGGAGCCCTGCATTGAGCTCCCTACTCAGCAGGTAGTCCACTTCTCCCTCTGCCCCTCACCCCGCTTGTGCTCTCTCTCTCTCAAATAAATAATAAAATCTTTTTTTAAAATTCCAGATTAAATAAATATTTAAATATAAATAAGTTGTTCTCTTAAGAGCTCTGGAGTCCATCTGCCTGGGTTTAAATCCTATTTCTACAATCCACGAGGTATGTCACTCCGTACAAGTCACTTAACCTCTCTCAGTTTCAGTATCTGTGTTGATAAAGTAGAAATCATATTTATAATATAATGCCTACTTCATAAGATTGTTACCAGGATTCAATGAAATAATGTGCTGAGCACATTGCCTGATTTATAGAAAGTGTTAAGTAAATGCTTATAAGGATTATGAATTACCAAATGTTTTCAAGTGAAAATTGGAACTTGTAAAAATAAGTACTTCATTTCATAAAATTCTAAGATTGACCATTATTGGTAGATTTGGCTCATGGGGAGCAAGCTTTGTT